TATTATAAATAATAAACCAATATGATAATTTTATATTTAAACGTTATAGATTTTTATTCATATATTTATACGTAATACATATTTTACAAGTACTACAAAATCTGTTATATTTTAAACAGAAATGTGACTTAAGCAATGCAAAATACATCCCATTCATAGTAGGGGACAGTGGGTGACGTCACAGTGTTACAGACCCGCATGAACTGTGAAGGCTTTCAGGAGACTCGATACTCACCTCCTCCAGGTTTTTTAACCCCTTCTCTTCATTGGCTGTGGTGGTCTCTGATCTCTACTTACTATCATGGAATTCTCTCTGGGCCTCAGTACCTGTTTTCTAAACACTGACTTTTTTGTTATGTAATGTTTTAATTTCATTTGATGCTCTAGTAACCTAAATTGGTTATATTTTAAAAACCTGTTTCTTCTTTTTCTCTTTTCTTGTCTTTTTGAGACATTGTCTCCCTGTAGTGCCAGCTGGCCTGGAATTCCCTGTGTAGACAAGGCTGGTTTGACCTCCATCTTTCAGAAATCTAACTGCTTCTGCTTCCTGAGTTCTGGCATTAAAAACATGTACCATCATGTCAGCTCAAAAAATCAATTTCTTAACTATGTTTGGAAAGACTTTTTGTTACTGAATAAGGTAATCTCTCTCTCTCTCTCTGTCTCTCTCTCTCTCTCTCTCTCTCTGTCATCTCTATCTTTTCTCTCTCCCTCTCCCGACTTCACTTCATCCTTCCCTCCTTCTTATACTTAAAACATGTACTTAAAATATATTAAGATACAGGATTCAACATACTGTATTGGGTTTGAGCATTTTACTTTGAAAATTCTAATAATTTCCTCTCCTGAACAGACAGTCAAACCAAGACTTGAAAATAAAGTGAGGAAGTCTGATGTTCTAAGATAACCACAAGACACAGGGAAGAAGGAGGTGGGCAGCATGTACACTACTAAATGGCATGGACTGTGAGACTAGAGGGAAATAGGACAAAAGCACTAAGTCAATTTCCATCACTAAGCTTCTGATAGATGGCAAGACTAAATGTAAATGTTAGACCAAAGGAAGGCAGTGAATCTACAAAGGACTCAGTGGTTATGAAAAAACTCAACTCAGGAAATAATTCCAAACAACAGGTATATGACAGTTAACATTCACTGAGATGCACAAGATGTCTGTAAACTCAATAGTTAACAATGATATTAAAACTGGAGCTTAAATATGACATCTTTCCAATGAATTAGTTCAATTTTACACTGATTCCAGCCAATACTATCACTAAACAGCAAGAAAACAATTTCTTTAAGATAATGTTTATTAATTAAAAAATAGACGTAACATTGATGTTTGCAGGAAAAATCTTGATTTTTCATTTGTAGCTAACTGGTAAATGTGCATACATGATTTTATATTAGAAGTTTCTGCTTTGTATAAGTAGCTTAGTTTTCAAATTTCTCAGTGCCATCATGATGTCCTTGTTTCTCAAGGTATATATAATGGGATTCAAAGCTGGGATCAAAATGGTGTAGAAAAGAGACAGAAGTTTTCCCATTCCTTCTGATTGACTCAGTTTGGTCTGTAGGTAGGTGACACTCGCTGTTCCGTAGAACAAAACAACAACTGTGAGGTGGGAGGAGCAGGTGGAGAACGCCTTGGCCCTCCCTTTGGCTGATGACAGTCTCAGAATGTTGGAGATAATCTTGCCATAGGAGAAAATTATCAGAAGAAATGGAACCATAAAAAAGACAACTGCACCTACATAAACCGCTATCTTATTCACAAAAATGTCACCGCAAGCAAGCTTGAGTAATGGAGGAACGTCACAGAAGAAATGATTGATTCTGTTGGAATCACAAAAGTGCAAAGAGAATATCTGGTAGGTTTGCCCAACGACAACTGGAATTCCACTGATCCAGGAGGAAGCGACCAGCTGCACACACACAGTATAATTCATGAGTAAAGAATATCGCAAAGGTTTGCAAATGGCCACATAGCGGTCATAGGCCATGACTGTCAGCAGGAGACACTCAGTACCTCCAAACAAAAAGATAAAGCACATTTGTGTTGCACAGGCCAGCACAGATATGCTTCCTTTTTGGGTGTAAAGATCCGCAAGCATTCTCGGGATAGTAGCTGTTACATAACAGATTTCCAAAAAGGAAAAGTTGCTAAGGAAAAAATACATTGGGGTCTGAAGAGCAGGGTCGGTTCTTGTTAATAGTATTATAATGCTATTGCAGATCAGAATAATCAAGTAGATGAAGAAAAATATCATAAACAGAATCCACTGTAGATGGGGAACATCAGAAAACCCCAGGAGAATAAATTCTATCAGTTCAGAGGTATTTGATTTCTCTGTTTTGAATGGGTCTCCATCTGCAGATAAGATAAAGCTGAAGTGGTTAATTTAATTGCACTTTACACTCCATTTAATTCTATGGTAATTGAATTATATGAACATATGTAATTTATGAAATCATTCCCTTCATTACCTTATTGTGATTCTATGCTTGATATTAGAAATGGAAAAAACATATAACTAATGTCAAATCAATCCACAAATCTAATGTATTTTGTTTTACAATTGTATTGTCACTTGCATTAAAATATTTTTCTTGGTTTATATTATTTTCTCTGTATTAGTAGTTTCATTACAACTTTTTCCTCTACCAATAATTTTCCCTTGAAGCTTCTCTTTAGTGATTCTTCAATAAGCACTTTTAGTTCCACCTTTTGCTATTTCAGTGAGAATTAATATTCTGAAGCTAATTGCTACTGAGGAAAAAGTGTAAGATTATCATTCTATTTTGTGTGCTCACCTGTCTGTTGTGCCAAATATAAATACATCTTTCTCAGTAGTCACTTCAGTGACTTTCCCCCAACACATAGTTTCCAGGGTATGAAAAATTGTGATTCAGTCTAAGGACGCAGCTCACTGTTTGTGCCCTCACTTGCTGCACAGGATTGGGGTTAATCAACAACTACATGAAAAGTGCAGCTGCTTTCCCCCGCTCTTTCTCTCTAATGTTGCATATCTAAATCTGACTTCCATATACCTAAATATGATTTATTTTAGTAATTCAGGTTGCCAGTGAATGTGGATAGGAGTTAAAGGCAACAAAACAAAAGTTAAATACTTGTGAGATTAGGTCAATCTGGTTTACATAGCAAGTTCCAGGCAATCTGGAGCTTCAGGGAGACTTTGTCTCCAAAAGAGAAGAAAGAAACGAAGGAAGGAGGGAAGGAAGGAAGGAAGGATGGAAGGAAGGAAGGAAGGAAGGAAGGAAGGAAGGTGGAAGGGAGGAAGGGTGGGAGGGAGCGAAGGAAGGCGGGAGGGAGGGAAGGAATGAGGGAGGGAAGGAGGGAAGGAAGGAGGGAAGGAAGGAACAGGTTTATTCTTCACATTACCATTTATTATGAAGTCAGCACTGTGAAAAGAATTCTAGCTGCATTTCTTAATGTTTCTCCTTGACATTCTGAAATATTTATGTATTTTCAAAATATCTGAACTCTATTATATCTGTGAATAATTGATGATTTTAATAATGTACCAATAGATTAAATTTTGGTCAATATTCTGATGCTTCCAAATATTTATTAGTATTTTTTTAAGTATCATCACTGGTGCCATTATATTACTTGGTATAAATCATATGTAATTTCGTTTCAGAGTTAAGAAAATGAATACATGATTTACATTATCTAATATTTTTAACTAGTTTCATTTCAGATAATGATCACAGATTTCCTGCTTTTTCAGATTCAATGGTTTTAACTTTCAAATTGGAAATATCCTAGGCAAAACAGTCTAGGAGCACAATTGGAGCTTACCTTTGTAGATTTTCATGAAGTGTTTATAAATATAAAAGTGGATTTTAACCTATAACTTGAACTCCTCTCCAATCCACCTGAATATTATATTTGTTGACTTTGGACATTCACTGTCCTTAAAATAGCAGCACAGACTCCCTTGGGGACCACCTTCTTTCCTATTAATATAGTCTCAGTTCACCTTCTAGAAGAGACTTGTGATGGCAGTTGCTCTGGTTCCTTTCAGAGCTCTGCTATTTGGCTTCAGCCCTTGCTGGCAGAGAGAACTTTTACTCTTTGGGGATTACGTCTCAAAGTGAAGTCATAATTATCTAGTTTCACTTGAAAGGAGTTGAAATTCTTCCAGCTGTTGACACTGAGGATGTTACACCTCTCTGGCTTTTCTTTCCTACTGTATTTAGCCTGATCCTGACATCCAGGTCACAGTGTACTATTGAAAATTGAGCCTCCTGTACAGTTCCACACACATGTTGTGCTTTCTGTCTTCCATATTTAGAGTAGCGATGCCATTCTGCCACTTTTAGAAATAGAATTTTTTCTTTATTAATTTTTATTGAGCTTTTGAAAATTTTGTACATTTCCCACTCAAATACGTCCCACCTCCCCCATCCATGTCTCCCCCTTTGTCTCCACCAAACCTGATGCACTCTGCCATACATGCTGAGTCCGATTCATTCGGTCTTTATACTCAAGTGTCCTTCAATGTAATTGCATTCACTGGAGCCTAGTCAGCCCATCCATTGGTCTTTGTAAGTCATACTCTCCCTCGCCCAGTAGCAATCATTCTCAAATAGTTCTTGATCTAGTGCTGGCCCACCATGTATTTTCTGCCTCCCTTTGAACCCTTGTTTCACTGAGCTGACATGGGTCCAGTGTTCGACGCCATCACTGCCACAGGCTCACATGAGCAAGCCTCCAGTGGCCTGGTAGTCTCCACCTCCCTGTAATCATGAACCAGTCCTGGCTCTTACAATCTTTCCAACTCCTCTGCCACAAAGGACCCTGACCCATGGGTAGATGAGTTTCCCTATAGGAGTCCCATTCTACACTCCACAATCTCTTATGTGGCCTCCTGGGTACATCACACTCAGATGTACAAGGGAGCCTCACTGGTCAGAGTTGAGGAGTGCATTATTCCTTTCTCTATCCCTTATTATCCTATGTTCCAAAGACTTTAATTATAGAGATTTGACTGCAAATGTGTCACCTAGTACTGGGTATCTCCCAGATGTAGTTTCAATAGAACTTTTTATAACTAAATTGACATTTTATAAAAAAGATTTGCTAAAATTTTATTGAATTTTATGTTTTCATACAATATAATTTGATGGTATTTAGATCCCTCCTCCATCTGCACTCCCCCCACTGTTCCTTCCCCAATTCAATATACACTACTGTATATAAAATACAGCCTATAGTGTCTGATTTGTGTCTTCACAATTTTCAAGCAAAGTGTGAATATATGATAACCACTGGCTTGGTTATTTTCAACATAGTTTTAGATATTTAGAAGTATGGATTCCACTGTAAACATGTTGTGATAACTTTTAAAATCTGCCTCTCTTTGCCACAGCAGGCCTGTCATACATTGGTCTTCTGTTCGCATTTTTGGCACAGACACATTCGTGTTATGTATTCATCCTTATGCTATCACTAAATTAGCAGCTGATATTTTTGTGATTCATTTAAATATCACAATCCCTAGACAACACCTTAGAAACTAAAATATCTACTTTGTTAATGACTTGGGTAAACCTAAATTATCCCACAATAATATCGCTGTATGGTTGTGTGGTTGGTGATTAGGAAATACAGAGTACTTCTATTTTTGAGTTCCACTATTTCTTAAATGATATTCACAGTCCAATGGACAACCAGCTTTTGGACAATTTAAAATTGAAGAAAAAGCATTCAGAAAAATCCAGAGAATGCATGTGTGTGTATGTGTGTGTGTGTGTGTGTGTGTGTGTGTGTGTGTGTCTGTGTCTGTGTGGCAGGTGTGCACATGCATAGTACAGTTGCCACCAGATTGGTGGTGAGAGGACAACTTTCAGGAGTTAGTTCTCTCTTCCCAAGTTACTGAGGCATCGTCTCTCCTGTTGTTTCTGTGGCCGAACTGTACTCCAGGCTTGATGGCCCAACAGCTTCCAGCCAGTTCCCTTGACTCATAATGACACGTGTATAATGTATTTAAATGCACTGTATTTCCTTTTTCAAATAACAATAACTTGGTTAATCTGTCTAAAGGATGTATATTATACATTCTTCACATAGACATAATGTATTTATGAACATTATGGTACTTAGGAAAACTAAAGATTCATTTCTAGGTCTTGCTGCAGAGAAGTGCATTAAAATTCAATTATATGAGGGGAGAAAATATTGAAAAATATGTATGATTTTTTCCAGTAATTCTGTATTTTTCATAAAAATTATGTGTTAGTTATGGCAAAAACTTTAATATCAACTAATATATAAATCTTACTTAAAATATTCTTTCTGCTAATTCATTTTTCTCTCTCCACTTTATTCTAAGTCAGGTTTTCTCACGTTTCCATTTAAATTCTTTAAATAAATTAATATGAATTTTCATTCTTTACAGAGATGTTTGTTCTGATAATAAATGCTAAGTTTACCAATGACATGTTTAAGAATAATCATTGAGCAATATTTCCTTTAATTGAAATTAATCAATAGATTTTTCAGAATACAATAACCTAAATAATGAAATAAATAATGCCA